CACATTGAAAAAGTTCAAAATACAAAAGAGAATCCACCAAAGCCAAGTAATGTCATTTTATAATGAATGAAAATCAACACTTGAACCTTGAAAATTTCCTCCTCCGTTCCGTACCAACAGGGCCCGCCCCGCACTTTGAGAACCACTACACCAGAAAATCGATCGTAGTTCATTACTTTATGCAGAGCATGGTGAGAGAAGTGTTGTGAAGTAAAACATGTGGGTTTACAGTTACTGCAAAACACACTAAGAATGACGTCCCTTTTTTTTTTTTTACAACGTGGCGCTAAGGCACTTCAGCATAAACTTTGTTACCACCATGGTGTGATGTGATGAGCAACTCCATCCGTAACAAGAAGTGCTCTTTTATTACGCACTATACAGCTTTATTTTTCCACTATCACCAGAAGAACACAGAGGAATTGCCGTCCTCAAAATTCCTTCCCCCATCCTCCGGCATACTACTATGGTTTTTTTAGCATGCAACACCTTGGGGAATATTCTAGACCATGGATTGTTGCAATAAACAAATAGACAGAGGTTTGCATACAGCTGCTGTAATAAAAGCAGTGCAACTGTGTTGTGCAAAGAGAAACTTATAACTAAATCCTTTCAAGCAAAGGCCAAGCCCATGTGTGGTGGAGAGACAGACAACGGAAGTGTTCTGTGGTCAGTGGTCGTATCATGGTCAATATGTGAAGGCAGAGTTGAGGAGCAGGCTTATAGTGAAACGTTAACAATAAAATATATCATATATATATGCATTAGAGTGATATTACACCAATAAAAAAAAAATACAGACACAAATACAGAATTCACTTCTCGGAATCTTATCTTCCTGGATAAGAACCCATTTGGTTCTTCTCTTTTGTGTTTCACACCGATGTTCCGATGGTTTGTCCTAACCTGGGCGAACAAACACTGCTGGGTCCAATGGTGTAAACACTCCCTACAGGTGTGTTCAATTAAGGCTGGAGTGAACACACCCTAAGGGTGTGAATACACACGTTCACACCAGCCTACAGTATATACTCTTGTTTCGGGCCTCGGAGTGAATTTAATGGTTCTCTTCTGTGCTTCACGAATGTCCCAGGTTTTAATGCCCTCGACCAATTAAAAGTTAAAAGTTCATAATTACATGAGTCAAGTGCACAGGTATGCCATTTGGCTTTTGTTCATACATTTTAGGTTTACGATTAAAGCCTTTTGATTGCTGCCTGGTGGAGCATCGACGTATGAGATGTTCCACCCTTCTGCCCCGGTGACGGTCGGGGAGGTACCAGGGCGGGCAGAATAGCTGTGATCTCATTCACTACTACCTACATATGATATGCTGATGATACGATGACTTATACACTTACACTTTGGGCTCCACGCCGCCTGTAGACCAGCGCCCTAAGCATGTTGTCTACAGACAGTTTTTGGGGGCAATTGTGGCACTAAAGCAGTTGTTGTGTCCACCTATATAGATGTGTGTTATTTATTGCCCACCCGTAAGATCAAAGAGAGCAAATAATCCTACAGAAAAGCTGACCTTAGGTGACCTCTTTAACCCCAGTTTTCCTTCTTTGGGAGTCGTTTCCTTTCTCTAACTCTTGTGTTTTATTCTCAATTGCGTTGAATTTCCGAGAGCCTTAGCACAGATTAAACTTCTTCAATTTGTTACTTTGCCGCTCGACCAGTGGTGATTCTGGTGTTTGAACAAATTTAGTTTAGTCTCCAATGTTTGCGACCTAATTATGGGCTTAAGTTTCAAAGAAGGACCATTTGGCCCCCAGCTAGGTTGACCTTTTTTATCTAGCCATTGTTGTAAATAGTTTAGACATGAATAGCCTGTCGTTTTCACAGCAGTGATTCAAGTTTGCTGATAAAAGCAACCGGGGTGGGGGTGGGGTGTTAAGTTAAGCATGTTAAGGCACTCGGGTCTCTCTGCCGTAGTTCAAGTTAGGATTCAAACAAGCACACAGCAGCTCAAGTTACGTCTGAAGGTGAAAGCACAAATAAAATGTCATTTGTACATTGAGTACCATAATATATCTGGAATCGTGATTCCCAAAGACTGGGTAGCGGCCCTTAGGTGGGTCGCAAGAGTTTGGTTTTTTTTGGGTCGGCTCGCATCATGTTTCCCAGGAGTTTACGAATAATGTCTATTAACTTGGGTCACTAAGGTTTGTGACTTTTAGAATATGGATCCCCAGAAAAAAAAGTTTGGGAAACACTGCTTTAAAGACACATCTGTTGTGACATAGTAACTAACGCATTTGCATTCCTTTTTTTTTCCTCTCTCAGATTACCAAAGGGTATGAGTTTGAATCCGAGACAGACACGGAGGTGATTCCCAAACTCATCAAATATGTTTATGACAACCGTGAAAATGACAACATCACCTTCTCCAAGTTGGTGGAGAGAGTCATCAAGCAACTGGTAAGAAGCTCGGATGTTTCAGAAAAAAAATTGCCGAGACATTTAAAAAAAAAAAAAAAAAAACCAACAGCTTTTTTTGTTTACCCTCAGCTGAAATGAGATGGAAATGTTTTACAATCAGTATCCTGGTTACTAACTAACAGGCAGTCATAATAGTGTGTCATTGACCAATCGTACGCACCGACAGCATGCACTCCAAGTGAGCAATCGTTAGTAGTACACATCACGACAACAGCATCACTGTTGACGTCATCAGCCTTACTTTTCTGAGGGGAGAAATAAGGGAGGGCACTTTTACTCCCATGATTCAGAGTTTCACACTCACACTCTGGGACCAGTTGACTCTCTTCTGAGGAGGTGAAAGTAGCCATCTTGGTTTTGAAGTAATGGGAACCAGATAGTGTGAGCCACCAACAGACCATGACGCCCTTCCTTCTTGTCCCATGATAACCCCACCCTCTAGGAAAACCAAAACACACACATCTGTGCAGCTCCTCTCGTCAGGAAACACACACATCTGTGCAGCTCCTCTCATCAGTTTGAAACAACCTCGGTCCAAACACACAGACTTATTTAAAACCTGTTTTTTTTAAGACTTTGACATTTAACCTGCGTCCTCACCCAGGACCTGAGGCTGTTGCTGCTTTAGGACCAAGCTTTGGTCCTAATGAGGAGGATTTCTCCTGTTCATAATGTACACAAGAAAAGGTCCTGAGGAGGGACAAAAGCATGTATACATACACACACACACACAAACAGATTTCATCTTGGAGTGACCACCACAGCAGCGCTGCTGCTTTCGAAATACAGATGACGTTATACAATAAAGGTCTTATTTCTCTACCTCCTCCCACCCCCAACCGCTTAGCTATTTCCCAACACTCACCCACACACACCCCCTCTACCCCTCTCCCCCTGCAACCACCAGACCCCACAAGGCCAAAAGAAACATTTGCTTGTGTTTAGAAAATGTTTCTTCTAAAGGTTACATTCACAGGCTGATCTACCTTGAGTTCTCAGTACTCAGAGTCTCACTCTGTCCTGACCTCCATGTTGAATCTCTGTCTCTGTGTCACAGGAGGGGGCCTTCGCGCTGGTGTTCAAAAGTCGTCATTTCCACGGAGAAGCTGTGGCCACCAGGTTTGAATAATCACACAGTAATTTGCAACTTTTTTGATTCACTCATTATGGCTCTTCAACCAACGCACATGACGTACGACGGCTCTTTAATCTGGACTGCTTACGGTAATGGGTGATTAGACTTCCTTTTTTTCTGCTCATGTGCGTGAGTAAATGTTGGTTAATTCCCGTGTGCCTGCATGTGTCAGGCCCGCCTGCGTCTTCAGACCAAGGCAAAGAGATGAGCAGAGTAGAAGTTGAGTTCAGGTTCCTCCCCTCCCTCCTGGGCCTCTGGCCTCCAGACTGACAGCTCTACACTGCCTGCTCTGTGACTCATTAATGACTGAGAGACTAGAGAGTTTCCTGTTTCAGGTCCGGGAAGCGGCGCTGCCAGCAGGACTCTTGTCTGATTAATTCTGATATTTTTATTTTACTTCATCTGGTACGGTGAACTACAGTGGTGGACATAAGGATCTGGGGGCGCGTGAGGTAGAGAGTGAGTGAGTGAGAGAGAGAGAGAGAGAGAGAGAGAAGACCGGAGAGAAGATGGATTGGCAACAACATGACAACACATATGTGTACAACCATGGGTCGTACTTAATGCAGAGAGAATGTCTGGCAGCAGCAGTGTGGGAATGGCTGTTTGGAGGTACATGTGCTGTTTAAGGTCAGCCGTCTTTGGCACAGTGTGCTGTGGAGTCTTACAGATTCTATTGAGTGGTTTCTGGGGCCTGATATCAATATCGCACAGCTGTGGCTCAACCCGACTGTAGTTCTGTGGTTGTTCCCATATGTTGAATAATCAGCATTGTTTTTCCAGGATGGAGGAATGTTAGTAATTATGATGTTTGTGATGGTTGTCAGCACCCACCCTGTCGTCAAGGACCTTTTTACTCAGCTCTCGTCCGTCTCTCTCTCTCTCTCTCTCTCTCTCCCTCTCTCTCTGTCAACCTTTTACTCTACCTCTAAATCTCGTCCTTCTCCTTGTTTCACCCTCCCTTGGGGTAGATAATGTATTGGATAGTGACCACATGTTTCTGTTTGCCTCCCTTACTAAGCCCCACACTCCTTAGAAAAACCAGCAGTCTTATGTCAGTGTGGTCACGCCCCTGAGAAATGCTAACCAGAGAGAGACGTGATCCAGACGGAGGAGGACAACGAAAAAAAAAGAAGAGAGTTTAGTTTTTAAAGCGTTGTTTGGCCTTAGCTGAGGGGTTTTTTTTATTACGTATGTTGCTTTTAAGCCGTCGTAACATTCACCTCCTCAGATCTACCTGGTCATAGAGCTACACCCTCAAATCAAATAAGAGAGTCCAGTGTAAAATGAACACCCAATCAGGTCCACGTGTACAACATAAAGAGAAGGAGAGACAATGAAAAAATATTTAAACTATAACAACAGATCTAACTTTAATTTTTAATTTATCTATAGGCACATAACTGCTCATGTGTCAAGACTAGATAGTCGTACGAAGTTGACAGTGGTGTTTGTTTTTGTCCCGTCAGGAGAGGAAGTCCACTTCTCATCGGAGTGCGGAGTGAGCAGGAGCTGCCGACTGAACACATCCCCGTCCAGTACAACTGTGGTGAGCTCTGCTCCTCTTTGGATCCACCTGTGTTTTATGAGCTGACGTAGAAATGACACAAATGACTCACCTGACAGTCTGCGTGATTTAGGTCTAGATGCTGTGGAGTTTGTGCCTCTAAGTTACATCGTTCACGTGCAAATATGCAAATATGCACAAAATTTGTTTGCAGGTAATTAGTCGCTGCTCGAATGACCTGTTTACTTTGAGTCTTCAGAGGAGCAAAAACATTTACCCACAGATTTCGGTGAATTTAAAACTTAGTTATAAAATAGGATTTCATTTGTTGTTGTATGAGTATGCAGAGCCAATCAGCAACAAATATATATAATAAAAAAACTAAAATATATAATAAAGATTCTTGATTAAAGTATGCTAAACGTTCATGATAATAACATCCCCTTATTTTCCTTGGCAACAGCCAAAGACAATAGCGTCACACCTGCTGCAGTGGTGCAGCCAATGATATCTCCCGGTGGCATCTTGAGTGGAAATCACAGTTAACCATGGCACACATACTGTAACCAACTCCCTTAATTAAGGAAGAACACTGTCAACACACCTGGGGCTGAGAGCTGACCAAAAGAATTGTTATTGTGATCTAAAAAAAAAAAAAAAATAAGAACAAGTCAGAGCATTGGCTCCTGATTAGAAAGGGTGCGGTCAGGCTATTACCCGCAGATGATGACGTGCCTCGTAGACTGGTCTGGCGACGCCGCGTTGTTGATAATTACGTATCTGTATTTGCATGTGCAAAAAGATAATTGAAAGTTTGCTTTAAAGAGGGAGCAGCGTGAACTCAAAGAAGTAGCTGTCATACTGTTCTACATCCTGACCAACCACGTTAGAGGAATCGCTCTCTGAGCAAACGAGCGAAACATCTCCAGAAAAATCGTAAATCATCGCCATCTCTCTTACTCTATTTTTTCACAATGAATGTAAACAAATGGCATCAGACGTACATAGTTGTTAATAATTGACATAATGACAGTTTTGCTGAGTGCTAAAATGTTGGAGATGGTAAATTACCTACAACTCCCGTCGCACCCTGCAGAACTGCAGTGTCCTCCGTTTAATGTCAGGTATGTTATCAGACTGGATCTCCTATTACGTTTGTGACCGCTCAGCCGACAAAGCTGCCGTGGACACTCACGTTCTGAGCTCTCAGGCTGTAAACTTTACAGAGTGCGATGTTTTCAAGCATCGGTGCCATAAATTCAGCTTTTTTCCTCAACACCATATGCAGCGTGAGGTCGTGTCATTTCTCGTTCACTCCAATAACGCCAATATTTCCAGTTATTGGGCAATAATCCTTCCTTTGGGCAATAAAGATTTTATTTGCCATTTGACATTCTCCCTGCAAATGTCTTAACGCTCCTATAGTATATATTTATAGTCAGTAGCCTATCAGGAATTCAAATACTTCCTGAATAGGTTCAAAATCCGGGATTTTCCCATTGCACTCCCTCTGCGGATGCATCCGTGTCTCCTGTGCTTTATCACTCAAATATGTATGGTTTTTAATAGCAGCATTGAGTCTGGTCCAAAGTTCACAGCAGCTCTTCTGCAGCCGAGAAACGATTATTGGCTGACCGACATGAGCTGCTCGTTGGTTTCAGCAAATATTCTGAAAGTAAACAAACTGCCAAATCTGCTTTTTTCACCCGACGTATTTCATAAATGTAACAAGTCGTACTTTTAAGACTTACAAAGTAGACTTTATGTTAGTCTGGTGAATAAACTGCATTTTATAGCCTGTAATACAACTGGCAAGTTTCCTCTGACATGAGGCTTTCAGGCCCTCCTGTGCCATCACATTTTCTCAGGTTTGGTGCCCCCGTCTGGTAGGACAAAGAAAGGCAGTGTGAGCATCAGAAACTCCAAAATAAGTACTGAACAAAGACTGACATTACAGTTACATGAATGCCTTCTACCAAATACTTCACAGCAGATAATACTACAGTACTGCTGTATTACTAATTACATACAAACCCACCTGTTGTTACTGATAATCAACAAAAATGGACAACTTAATTCAGTACACATGGATAAAGTAAAATACTTTACATGATTCTTACTAATAAATCCTGAGTACACCTTAAATTAAATACTGTTTCATTAGAACAAAGAAAATGTCAAGGTAAACAGACTAGGGATAATTCACTAGCTTAAATGGGATAGAAAATCATCCATCACACCAGCAGAGCGATGGTGACACTTCAGTACAAACCCCACATTTAACATTTTGGGTATTTCCATCTGAAACGGACATTTCCCAGAACTTTCTGGAACCTTTAAGATGGTTAGGCCTTAAGGTCATTCTGGTAGAAGCGTTTGGTCGGGGGGCTTCTGTCACGCTCCATTATTCCTCCACTCACCGTCCAGTGACGTTACGAGAAAGAATTTAAGGGATCAGCACATCCTGATTGTTGTAGCTCCTCCAGAATGACCCCTTACCCTTGCCCTCTGACTTTTGACCTGCAGGTCACACCCACGATAAAGTCCATGACAAATACACCCGCTCGAACAGCATCAACTCCGTGGGGGAAGGAAATGCAGTAGAATATTACTTTGCCTCTGACGCCAGGTGAGAAACCATTTGTCTGTTGTTGTTTTGTTTTTTTTAAATCCAAATGGCTACCATTTTTTTTTGTTTGTTTGTTTTTTAAATCCAAATGATCGTATGTAACTTTACCATATGTTCTTATTGTCCTGCAGTGCTATTATTGAGCACACCAACAAGGTGTTGTACATGGAGGATGATGACATTGCGGTGGTCAGAGGAGGGAAGCTGTCCATCCACAGGATGAACCGGCAGGCCGGTGAAGACCCCGTGAGGGCCATACAGACCCTGCAGATGGAGCTGCAGCAGATCATGAAAGGTCAGATGACCGTGGACGACGGACTCTCTGTGCAGCTTCAACTCTTTCTTCAAATATCGTTGGGGTACACGGTGTAACTGTACGAGATGTGACAGTGTCTACTGTGTGTTTGATCTCTCTCTCTCTCTCTCTCTCTCTCTCCACAGGAAACTTTAAAGCCTTCATGCAGAAGGAGATTTTTGAGCAGCCGGAGTCGGTCGTCAACACCATGAGAGGCCGAATCTGTTTTGATACTAATACAGGTAAATGGACTCAAACTTTTTAGTTGTTGAAGATATTTAGTTTGAATAACAGATAGTTTTTTATGAAGTATTAAATATTAAATATTCATTAAATAAACATGTGTTTATCAGTCCTGTCCATGACTCTGCATGAAAGATTTACATAAGTGAAGTAACTGAGGTCATACAGTACTATTACTGTGATTGTAACTGTACTTCCATTGTACTTCACCACCTCCTCAGTTATGCTCGGTGGGCTGAAGGACCACCTCAAAGAAGTCAAACGTTGCAGGCGGCTCATCCTGATTGGCTGTGGCACCAGCTTCCATGCTGCCGTTGCTGTGAGTACGAGTGACATTTACAAATCTCATTTGCATAAAAAAATAAACTGACAGGGGTTGTTTTGTAATTCACATCAAGCAAAAATACGACGGTGAGAATTAGACTAAAGACAGTATGTAGTGATAAGCCTTGAAAGAAGACTTCACAGCACAAAGTTACAGTAACAGTTTAGATGTTGACCTGACTTCAACAACCATGACCAAGTATTGTTGAGCGACAAAGTACGTTTATATAGAAAGAATGGAGGGATAATTCCACTTGGTTTATGATTGACTGACAACTATTTATATTTTTTATTCATTCATTTCTTCAACAACAGACATGTAATTAAAAGAAAATGTGACATCAACCAGTATTTGTTTTGCTTCTGTTGTACAATGCGTGTGTTTCTAACTGAAGTCATTGATTTTTAACAAACAATATAAATAATTCCTTTATTTATAATTTTCCTTTGGTTCAGTGAATAAATGCATTATCAAATACAGATTGTAGATTTTTAGAAGTTTTCTGCAATATTTGTTTTCTCCATAAAATGATTGAAATTGCACACATTTGAAAAGTCTCACTGTGATTATTGTTCCATGTACATTTTAGACCAGGCAAATCCTGGAGGAGTTGACAGAGTTGCCAGTCATGGTGGAGTTAGCGAGCGACTTCCTGGACCGCAACACCCCTGTATATAGGGATGACGTTTGCTTCTTCATTAGCCAATCAGGTGACAGTTAAACACGGTGGCCAGAACATTTGCTTTCTGCGCCTTCCTTCCTTCCTTCCTTCCTTCCTTCCTGCTCGTTGTTCTTTGTTTTAAATAAATCTTCCCGTTTCCTTTTGCTCACCAAGGAGAGACAGCAGACACCCTGATGGCACTCCGCTACTGCAGGGACCGTGGTGCCCTGACAGTGGGCATAACCAACACTGTGGGCAGTTCAATTTGCAGAGAAACAGACTGTGGAGTCCACATCAATGCTGGACCTGAGATAGGAGTGGCAAGCACCAAGGTACTGACTACGATTACATATAATTATAATAACAATAATAATAGTGTTGGGAAGCAAAAAAAAAAGTATTATAATTATTAATTATTTTATTTATTATAATTATTATAATTATTATTAATTAGGTTTATCAGATAGATTTATCTATTATTTATTAATTATTCATTAGTAATGTTTAAGTAAGATAATAATATTTATGTAAGATTAAATATAATTTAAAATATTTTAATTATGAATAGACACAATTTAAATAATCAAAAAAGTGCATGTTTTTTATCTTTATTTGTTTATGCATTTATGATCTGTTGATTACATTCACTTAAACTAAGAGTAAAATAACACATTGAGATTTTTGTAAATTAAAATGTTTTAACAGCTAGTATAATAATTATATTTCATATATATATTTCAGGCCTACACCAGTCAGTTCGTGGCTCTCATCATGTTCAGTCTGATGATGAGTGAGGACAGACTTTCACTGCAGAAGAGAAGACTGGAGATCATCGAAGGCCTCAGAGTACTTCCTGGTTAGTTCTACAAACCTACAGCCAAACCTTAACTTATAACTCACTTATAACCAGTGAAAAAAAAACTGTTGCTTTTAAAACACTGACCTAAAGTCTTTCTGCTAAACACCTTCCAGAGCAGATAAAGAAAGTGTTATCTCTGGATGAGAAGATCAAGGACATTGCTAACGAGCTGTATCAGCAACGGTCACTTCTCGTCATGGGCCGAGGTTTTAACTATGCCACCTGTCTAGAGGGGGCGCTGGTAAGTTCTGTGTGCTGAAGTAATGGGTGCGAAAAATTAAAAGATTCCTCTTGTAAGGCGAGGACGGAGTAAAAATGTTTTTTCTGTTGTACATTTTTGTTTAATGCAGAAAATAAAGGAGATCACGTACATGCACTCAGAGGGCATCCTGGCTGGGGAGCTGAAACACGGTCCACTGGCACTGGTGGACAAAGACATGCCGGTCATCATGATCATCATGAAGGACGCCTGCCACGTGAAGTGCCAGAATGCTTTGCAGCAGATCACTGCCAGATCAGTAAGTCTGATAAATGTATAATAAACTTACAGAACACTGGGTCACATGGTGGAGTAGTGGTCAGTGCTTTTACCTTACAGCTAGAGGAGCAAGAGTGTTTTTTGTTTGTTGTTGTCTTTCTATATGAATGTATTGATGAGTGATTACAAAACTTTTATTGGAGTGCCCCCCTTTTCACAGGATTATTGTTGGCCCCCGCCCCCTATGTTGATACATTTACAGCAATCGCTTAAAAACTCTACAGAGCCTTTTTTTTTTAATTCTTAAGATTTTTATTTTTCTAATGAACTTTTTCAGATTTAATTTTTCCATTTTAACAACATGAGGGATTTTGCTCTTGACAAAAACACAGCTGAATGTGCTGGTGTCTGTATGAGGCCCAGGGTCCTATCTGTTGTATCTCCACAAGCCTGTGTTCCATCAGCCCCAGTGGCCTAATGGATAAGGCACTGGCCTCCTAAGCCAGGGATTGTGGGTTCGAGTCCCATCTGGGGTGTTCTCTTTTCTGTATTTTTCCAGCTTGGATCAATAAAGTACATTTATCTATCGTTAAAACCACTCAAGAAAATCATAAATAATTTTCTATAAAAAGGCTGATCAATGATTCTCGTCAACAGGGTCGGCCCATCATCCTGTGTTGCCAAGACGACCAAGACGTGGCTAAGAACGCCTATCAGGCCATAGAGCTGCCACATACTGTGGACTGTCTGCAGGGCATCCTCAGTGTCATCCCCCTGCAGCTTTTGTCCTTCCATTTGGCTGTGCTGCGAGGATACGACGTAAGCTCTCAGCACAGTGGTGTCATCACTGTCACAGTTACATTAAGTATTCATTAACAGCTCAGCTGAGATCAGGAGAAAGACAGACACACATTTCATTCATTTTTAATTTTTTTACCTTTGATTTTCACACAAAAATCAATAGGATTTGTGTCTGACTTTTATTTTTTTCTACAGTAAGTAATCAGTTGTCTCTTTTTGTTTCCCAATTCCTTTTCCCTTATAAGGAGTTTAGGCAGGATGTTCAGTCATACAACTATCAGCCTGACTTTATTTGAACTCTATAGAGATTTTCTTTAGTAATTTGTACTACAGTATTTAAACCATTAATGTAACGTCAGTTGAATTAAAGTCACGTGTCACGTGTCCTTTAACATGTTTTTCTTTGTACAGGTGGACTGTCCCAGGAACTTGGCCAAATCAGTGACTGTGGAATGAACTGTGAGTTCACGCAACCTCAGAGAGGAGAGAGGAAACTGATATATTTATGTAACGTCAGTTGAATTAAAAAAAAAAATCAGTATATATTTGTGTGTATGTGTGAGTGTATGTGTGTGTGCGTGATTGTGTGTGTGTGTGTGTAACGTGAATAGGATAAGGAGGGGTCTGTGTTTGTGTGCGTGAGTGACAGAGTGTATTACCGGTACAGTGCCTTCATTACAAAAAAAACAAGAAATGTGAAGTCTGACCTAAACACTGCTGAGGAAGTGCCAACGCCGCTGAGGCCTTGAAGAAAAATCTAGGTGAAAAAAAAAAATCTATGGAAACAATCCAACATCCAAAGCAGCATTTTATGCCTTTTCTAATCTTGACTTGAGCCAAAAATGCAAAAGGTGTATTGAAGTGTTTACAGCTGTGCAATATTGGGACCAAATGTGCATTATGAATGTACAATATGAACGAGATACTTCATTTACTTCCTGTTTTATTATATAGATGTTGCATGTCCATCTGGAGCTCCTTAAACATTTGTTGCACAAAGCAGACACATAGAAGTGTTTGTTTTATTCCAGAAACATCTCTGAGTTATCGTAATCATATATATTTTTTTTATATATCATTTGTTGCATATTCTTGTTACTGTGCCCGGTGTGGAATTAAGCCCAAAAGTGATTTTTATGGAACACATCTCACATTTTTTTTCAAGCGAATTCTGATGAAGTGATCTTCATTTGTTTTATTCCATTTTATTTAATTTAATTGTGTATATAACAATATTGCAGTTGCAGCCAAATCAGTTCACGGTACAACACTAATCATTTTCTTCAGTCCTTATTTCCTCTGTTCATGGTTGAAGGGGTTTCAACAGACGAGCATAAGAATTATTTAAAGAGCAGTCTGACGTGACAAACCCCACTGCCACTCTCTCTACTCCTGTTTGAACAGACATTTCTCTGGGTTTTTTCACGCTGAGAGTATTCTGTATTTATCTGAATTTATTTTATAGGGCCTGAAAGAGGGTTTGATTTATATCTATTATTGTGATTGTATTTTATACTGTATCTTTTTGTAGACTTCAGATACTATCAATAAATAAAATAAAATAAAATTGTGTACAATGGGTTAAATGGTTATGTTTTATCCTAACTACATCAGTAGGATGGGACTGCAGTATATACTGTACAGATATGGATTTGGAGGAGGAAGCTATATTTACATAGATTTTTTTTTATCATTATGACTCAACACTGTGGAGCACTTCCCGTCAGAGAGTATAAATACAGCAGCTGCAACGGGGTTTTCGATTAAAAAAAATACTAGTAGTTCAATCCTTGGCTAATAAATCAAATTGATTTTAAACAGTAAAGTGTACTCTACCACCTACGTCTTAGTTTTTCAGTTTTTTCTGTGAATATGACAACGCTTAGGATATTGTTTCATGAATTGTACGTTGTGTGTAGGACACACATTCCTGGCTTCGACTTGGGAAAACAAAGAGACTCCAAAAACTCTTGAGCCGGCCCTGAGGGAAAACTTTTTAGAAAGAAAAAGTTCGCCCTCGCGTCAAGTAGACGCGATGACGTCACGAGCACGCTCGATGACTGTCCGCTGTAGCGTCTTCTTCCTCCGCAGCCGTCCCCCAGCTCCGTGCTGCTGCCTCCTCCGCTGCTCTGGTTACTGGAGGCGAGTTTGTCTGCGGTGACAGCCTGGCCGGTGGTTTTTTAAAAGTTCCTCGAGTCACTGTTGTGTCTGGAGGCCGGACGAAGTGTTTCGCTTGTGTTTTAGATGCACGGAAGTGCCACGGGAACGGAGAAGGGAGAAGGTAAGTGTCGCCGTTGCCGCTATCTTTGCCGCTTCTTCCGCCGCCCGTTGCTCCGTCCAAGCTCTCGGCTCAGCCCTGGCCCAGTTACCGCAGTGGTGCCGACATGAGTGGAAGGATAAAAAGAGTCGGCCTCGGTAACTTTGTAAGCTAATGTCGAGAAGAAAAAGAATTTCGTTTGCTTGTGTTTGGTTTGTGAATGTGTCCTGGCGCCGAGAGGTAGCGGTTCTATGAGCGCTGAGAGGTGACTTCATACCACTGTGAGCAGACATAAAAAAAAAAAAAAAAATCACCCTGGTTACGTTATCGGTCTGTAGGTGTTCTGTCTGACTCACTGATACAGATTAAACCCCAGGGAATGACATTTATTTAGGCCTGTTATGGTTTTATCACCTCACAGGTGTCGATTATCTGAAAGCTAGTGCCGCATTTAACACCATCTTTGTGAACGGGGCAAGTTTGCGTTTTTATCACCTTATTCATTTATTATTTTTGGGTCAATAATCTGTCATAGTTGAAGTCTGCAGGTGATAACAACTATAATTGGCCCACAATCACGATAAATACCAATCATGGCACAGAGGAAATAATCATTATTTAATAATATACTGTATTTTAAAATTCTCCATGTCATTTTTTTAGTTATTTATACAATATTGCAGCCCTGCTAGGATATGTTGTTGTCACATTACTAACACTAGCTGGTCATCTTGAGTTTTCATATGAAAAAACACAAGATACAAGTCAATAGACAGGCAGTGTCTACAAAAGGATCCATAATTTTTTTTTGTCACTTCTCAGTTACTCAACATTAGGATTCAGTCTTATGCCCACTCATCAAACATCTCTGTTGTGCAGCAACTCATTCTGAGTGGTCTTTAACCATCACAGCGAGATGCACAGCCATGCTAACATTTAACATCACAGTTAGCTCGCTCAATCCCTTTGAGCTACCATCTGAAGTCCAAGTCCATGTGAAGACCCCTGGGCGACAGTGGACTGAAGTAGACACTTGTCATGGTAATGTACTTAGAGTTAAGGATCGAGATGTTTTTGTTGTGGGAATATTCTCGAGTATTTAAGTGAAATATTTGACTTAGAAAAAAAAACCCTCACAATATTCTTGTTAGATTATTTAGTACTTAGAGTTAAGGATCGAGATGTTTGTGTTGTGGGAATATTCTTGAGTATTTAAGTGAAATATTTGACCTAGAAAAAAAAACCTCACAATATTCTCTTTAGATTATTTCATTTTTTTCCATGGCATGTAATTACTTTTGCAGTAGATGAGGCAGTTATAGAGTAGAGTAGTAACCAGAGCTTGCTTAAATTAGAATATTTATAAACTAATGACTATCCAAGTCCTTGCACATGTTCGTTTTAAGTTAAATCAAATGTTAGACATCTGTCTTTTTCTTCTGCTACATCCGCTCAATCATCTAACTACAGTATATCCAACACCACTATTGGTGGACACATGTCTCATTTTAGTATGTCAGCATTGAGCTCTTTCCTTTGACATTTAAGAGAACCATTCGATTGTGTGGGTCAATTTACACTGAGTTGCTTTTTTGATACTACCTTTAGTAGTAATACTTGACACGTTGCTATGTTTTGCCAAATATTTTATCAGGCTCCCATGTTTCAATTTATAAGGGTTAGTCGAGAAGTTTTATTTATACATATATGTGTCTTAAAATGTTGCGTAAAGAATTTGTCATGGAAAATTAGTTTGAACCTAATACCTTTGAAAATTGACAGCCACAGCGCTGACTAAACCAAAAGTAAGTATTTCAGGAAAAGTTTATATGGAGCGATGACGGAAAAGAAAGTCTCTTAATCAAGAATGTCTCTTCATCTTAAAAAAAAAAACAGATGTTGATTGATTTTGTTGCCACTCAGAAAGTGCTGCTGCATTACTCTGGGAGGTTGTCTTTACAGTGGCAGTTCTCTAGCCTGCCGCCTTAACGATGTTAGGAAATCGGTGATTAGTTGAGTGTAATGACCTGCTGAGTAAACATCTACAATCAGGAATCGCTTGTGCCTCATACATCACTACCTTATTGGACATTTTTTGAGAGTTCCGTCTCACAGATCAGGTGTAAGTAGAGGCACAAATCTTTAAGTCATTGATTGGCCTCAGCACTGCAGGGGTTTTCTTCACTAGTCTCACGGTGATTTGCTGATCCAACTCTACATCAAGTCTGCAGTTAATTCTAACAATCATGGATATATTTTATTTTCATGTTTCTGCTGTGTTAACGGTTAGGAGTCAACTCGATCATGCTAATCATTGTTTGTAGCAAGACGTTTGCTGGTTTGAAACCATGAATTGGACACGCCACTGAACCTATGTATGAATATAAGTGTTATTGATTTGTGCTGCTGCGATGGGCTGGTGCTTTCTATATCAACGCTGGTCGGCAGTCACAGATAAGTGAGCGGCTTCAGATATTGCAGGGTGCTTAGCTTCATACCACTATAGTGGTTCATTTAACAAATAATAAAATATCATCCTACATGGAGCCACTGCAAATGCCCCGAAGCGCTGCATGTGACTCAGGAGCCACAGCTTTCCGACCTCTGGTCTCTGATCACTCCCGGGGTTTGTCACTATCTCCATGCGACCTTGAAATAGGTCATTAAGTGGTCAGAGGTGAATGAATGAATGTTCTTTCTATGTATGACGTTAGTGTTCGTTGTGCGACATATTCATGTGCTGTGGTAGTTTGGAAATCTCGCTCACCACGTTGGCTCAGTACATGCATTTACATGTGTGAGAGGCTGCATATTATCATCATGTTGTTGTTCTTCAAAAATATGTTATTTTTTTTAGTGGTGGTTGCGGTGAAATGGCATTTGAGAAGGTGAGAGGAGAAAAGAATGTTACTGAAGTAGTATATTGTGAGGAGCACAAAGGGAGAAACAATCACAAGGAAAGAAGGTCAAGGAAAATGGAAAGACTGGTAGAGAGCAGGTCTTTGCTTTTTTTGCCCTGTGGTGCTTTGAGAGAGGTGGTCGGTTGAATGCACATGTGAAAAGGAGAAGCTAGTGAGGCACAGAACTGAGGTAGGAAGTGAGAAAACATTTGACTATTACTGTAGTGTCATAACAGATCCAAATGTAAAAAAAATAAAAAACACAGAAGAGAAAGTGGTGTATAAACAAAAAGCAAGAAGATATTAAACATAACCTGATACACAAATATTGAATTGAAGGAAACCGTAATGAAAATAAACTCGGACCTTAAGCGAAAATAAGATATGATTGGTATAATTAGCATGTCCTAATGGTCAACCAGAGGCTTCTGGGAGTTAGCACATTTTTAGTTGTAGTAGTAAAAAAATAGTAATAGTCATTCAGAGGATATTACCAAATCAGGGTTCACACACTTCCTGCAAAACTTGAAAAATGTGGAAATGAAATTACCAATTGTCTAAAACATATCGTGCTTGAGTCACATTTAAAGTGAAGGTCTTCAATAAAGAAAAAGAGGGAAAAAATGCTAGGTCACAGTCTTGACTTAAGCGAATAGGGTTGATCGAATGTAAAGGTCACAGTCTTGACTTAAGCGAATAGTGTTGATCGAATGTAAGTACTCCCAGTGGCTGAGGAGATGAAGCAGATAAGCAGATAAAGCACAGTGAGTCAGCATTGTCAGGAGAGTCGAGTTAATGAACGCATGACAACAACAATATGATTGGAGATATCTCATTGCGAGCTACAGTCTATGATAGACCAGGACTGCTGTTTAGATTTAATGTCTCGACCAGACTCTAATGGGACGATCACACCGTAATATGCCATCTTGCCTCATCATCTGTTTGAAGCCATTATGTTCTGTTGAGAAAAAAAAGGTTTATTTTTAAAAGACCGCACACTCTCTGGTCCCGTTCCAATCCTTTACTGATGGCTCTGTCCATTTTTTTTATACATAGTCTATGTAAGCCACTTGCAAAGCTGCACTGTTATGTGTCCTCACTCGTCCTCCCACACACCACATGCAGTATTGCTCATAAGGTGTAGTCTTTCTTCAGTTCTCAACTTAGGAGTCACTTCTAATGTTAGCACTTTATTTTTCAGTACAAACAGCTAAACCCAGGTCAATTTTCCCTTTTAAAATCAGGCTGTTTTGCTGGCTATAAAATCCGTCCTACTGCTTGTACATGATAGTGCACGTATACCTGCGTGTGTTATGCATGAGTGCGTCAGCGTGACTGTAGAGATGACAGTGAAAGCCTCAGCAACTCCGAGCTGTCATCTGCCTCCATTCTCCACTACACACTCGACAAAGCATTTACAGCCTGGGCTCAGGCTCCAGCTGCTGCTGCTGCTACCTTTGTCAGATGAGCAAACTGGGCAGTAAAATAGCAATGTTAAATTGTCTGGCTTCAGACCAGGTTGAAAATGACAGGAGAGGTGCCAGGGTCTGAGTCACTGAGAATCGTTTGTAATTTAGCAAAGTAAAAAAAAAAAAAAATCTGTTATAGTCTGACCCCGGGCAGATATTTGTCAGTGTTTGAGTCCTTATCTCTGGATGTGTTGTTG